TGCTGTCATTGATCAGTACCTCGATCTGGTACCAAGTGATCAGTTGTATTGTAAGTACAAAGGGTTATTTCCAATATACTTGTGTTGCTGCTCATGTAGTTTTCTACTGCTCCCAAGCTCTATTGATACAGTATATGGATGTTTTCTTAGTTTCTCAAATATGATCAAACTTCCAGAATTCTTCGAATTTATGTTTTTCAAATGTCTTGAGTCTTTGAGCAGGAATTCAATGTATTTGATACGGAGTTCTAATGTTACTTGGCTCATACAGCCACGCCAAACACTTAAGAATTGGCCCCTCCTCACGAATCAACGCAATATTAACCTGGAATTCGCACACACTCTGGTTGACACACACTCCTCGTCGCCACGCGTTCCCAATCCTCTGAAACTTAATATCTCCTCGACATCACAAATTTCAACCCGCGGATGTCAGGTTGGAATCGCCCGAACACACCAACAATGGCGAAAGCCAACCCCCGAATCCTCGCGCTCTTTGACGTCGACGGCACGCTCACGGCCGCTCGCAAGGTGCGTTTAGTTTGAAGGAAAGCATCTACTTCTCCGCGTGTTCATGGCAATCTCTTACGTCCTGTCCTGTGAACTCAAGGTGGTGACGCCCGAAATGACTTCTCGTATTGCCCAGCTCAAGAAGAAGATCACGGTCGGTGTCGTTGGCGGGTCCGACCTTGTCAAACAAAAGGAACAACTTGGCGAAGATGGTGCGTCCATTCCATTTCCTCCATGTACGCAATGATGTGCCTCACTGGATCAACAGTGATCCACAAGTTCGACTACAGTTTTTCCGAAAACGGACTGGTTGGGTACCACAACGGCGAGTGCATCAACAAGACGGTACTGACGCGTGGGTATGTCCACAGGCCTTTCTCACTGTGGTGTCTATAGAGCCTAAAGGAGTTTATTGGGAACGACAAGCTCAACAAGTTTATCAACTTTACGTTGCTCTACATCGCCAACTTGGACATCCCGGTCAAGCGCGGGACGTTCATTGAGTTCCGTCAAGGGATGTTGAACGTGTCGCCGATCGGGCGCAACTGTTCGCAAGAAGAGCGAGACGATTTTGAAAAGTACGACCACATTCACCAAGTGCGGTCGAAGATGGTCAACGTCTTGCGCGCGCAATTCCCAGACTACAATTTCACCTACTCGATCGGCGGCCAAGTACGTCATCGTCTCGACCGTCGTGTATTCAGACGAGACCTTGTAGATCTCGTTCGATGTGTTCCCGACTGGTTGGGACAAGACGTACTGCCTCAAGTTCTTGAGTTCAGCTGACTACGACGAAATCCATTTCTTCGGTGACAAGACCCATGTGGTACGATCTCGTTTTGTTGGCGTCGATTCATGGTCTTCGACTGGCAGGGCGGCAACGACTACGAGATTTTTGTTCACGACCGCACGATTGGACATGCCGTCAAATCGCCCGAGGACACCATGCGTCTCTTGGACGAACTGTTTCCTTAACTGCGTTTCCTCGACTGGTTAGGCGTTTATTCGACATCAATGCACGATTTTTTTTTGCCTCGTCCGACGTGACGACGACGTTGCGAAAATTCCATGCAGCGTACACAAACACCGTGCCGCTGACGCCGTGGAACTGAATGCGCGGCATAAGGAATCGCTGTCTCACTCTCGCATCGACGACACTTCGTGACAAGGTCGTGGTGGGTCCTTGCGACGCGGACGTCAGAGGACATATCTCGAATAGTTCGCAGTAAGCACATCCCTGGGAACTCCATGTGGCGACCAGGATACACTGGGGCGACGTAGCACGACCCCAGGTTAGAATAACGATGCACGTGTTCGCTCTGGCCACCTCGATTTAACAACTGTTTGAAGCGGTCGGAGGGACATTCCGTCGTGTACCAAGACGGGAAATCGTCGTTCATGCGATATTATTACACCGTCCTACATGTGTGGCAGCAACGCATCGCTAGCGAGGAACTGAGCCATCGGATCTTCTCGCTTCGATTTGTTCATCCGGTAGACTTCCATCGTTTCCGCATCCACGCCATCGTCTTGCATGGACTGGTACTTGCGCTTCCCTTCCAAGCTGGCTTGTTTCTTGAGCTTCTTCTCGGCTTCTTTCAACTTGATCGGGTCCAGCACTTGCGCTTCCTTGGCGTCGCCGTACAGTTCGCTTCGAGACGACGACACGAGTGCGGGTTGGCCGCCCGAGGTGGCCAACGGAAGGGCCTCTCGCACCGGTGCCACCACCGCAGCGTGGGCTTGTGCTTCATCGTTTTCTCTGGAAGCAGCCGCCTTGCCGGCTTCGCCTGTGCAGTAACTCTTGCGGACTTTGGAATGGCAGCACGCAAATCCCCATGCGTGTGCTGGCTTGTCGTACCAGCTGCCCCAAACTTGTGTGTGGTTGTTTTCCAGCGCGTCTTCGATGTATTTACTCTTGGCCACAGCCTTTTCGACGCCTTTCACCTACACATGCACACGATTCTTTATCGAGCAATCCACGACCAACACGACCGCTGACACGATTCCACAACTCTTCACGCAGTCGAGCAGCCGCCTGCACTGTGCAGAGGCAACCTCGGTCGGAGAGCTGGTTGCAACTCGATGGACACAACCCACGCAACGCCATCGTTCCCGAAGTTGACAAGGCCGCGCCAGCCCAAAGCGGTTTATTCAGAAAGCACAAAGACACTTCGATATCGCACAAGGTGCACGTACCACTCGACCGTCGCGAGCATATTCGACGTAGGATTCGGACGCGGCAAGGAGCAATTCTTTGGGCGGCGCCGGTGTCTGTTCGCCGTACTTTTCGAGCATCGCAAGTCGTTTTTCCTGTTCCAATTTCAGCTTCTTCTCTTCGTACTGCTGGCGCATGAACTCTGCGGCGGATGGCGTTGCTTGCGGATGGAGTTCGCCGTCTTGGATCACGCCCTTCTCGGCTGCCTCCCACGCGAAAAGCTGCGTCTTGGCCAGCTTGATGGCGTCGCCCGAGTGACGTACAAAATTATCCCCTTGAAACGTCGCTTCGTCCACGTTCAGGTCCGGATTCGGATTGTCGCGCATCGAACGGGTCTTGGGGTCGTAGAACGCCGAGTTTGGGTTCAAGTTGCGCAAGTACTTGGCTGTGTCCTCTCGGATGCGAAGATTTCGCGCTGTAATCATCATCTGGGCCCCGCCGACACCCCCCTGCCGCGACACGCGCTTCGCAATGACCCGCCCACCGTCTTTGTCGACAAACTCTTCCTCGGAAAAGGCGTCTTCATCGCCGCCGCCGTCCGAATCCGAGTCCGCTCCAGAGTCATTAGCCGTATTGGTTCCATTCTTGTTCATCTCCTGGATGCGCTTGGTCTTCCGAACTTGCTCCATCTTTTCAAACCGTTCAATCGTTGCTTGGTGTTCGTCGGCGTTGTACCCGAGCCATGCGTCCCGCTTCGCGTCGAACGTAAGTTTCCCGTACTGACCGGATCGCACGTCCACGATCACTTCGTCGGCTGCCAGGTTCTTGTTCGACTTCCAAGCACCCACCTTTCGCGGCCGCTCGACGCATTCGGTGGCTTTGTGGGTCGTTGCGCCGCAATTTGTGCATGCGCCTTTTGTAAACTTCTTGCGATACAATGGCTGTTTGAGAGCTCGTATATTGAGGGCATCGGCATCCGACATGGACAGCACTTGGTTCTTCTTCGGGTTAATTTGATGCGTCAACGACGATCCAGACTCGCCCAAGTACCATGGCCGCTTGGAAATATAGTCTGGATTGTGTGGATTGATAAGATTCCCATCAGCGTCCTTCTCAGGAGGAAGGGTGCCGTTCTTTCGTGCTTCGTCAAGTTCCTTCTTCTTGCGCATCTCTGCTGAGTTCATGCGCTCCGACGTGACCACGCTGCTGCTCATGATCTCTGGCCCGTTGAACGATCAGGCGAACTGGTATTGGAAGTAGAGTGGCGAATATAAATACTGCTAGAATATTTCTCAAGTCCTAGTATTCCCAATACACATGTATAATAAAATTTCATGTTTTTATATAATTTTTACCTTTATTATTCACGAGTGTTGGCCAGCATTAGTCAAAAGGTCACACACCCACCACATGCGCCGAGGCAGCGCGGTGAACAAACTTGCACGCTGACTGACCAAGGACGAAATGCTGATGTAGGAGGATTGAGGGTCGAGAGCACGGCGCAAGCTTCTAAGCGGCGAGTACGCTGGACCATACGGGTGCCCATACTGTGTGTCGAACGCCACCAATACGTCGACGTGCTACCTCTGAATGAGGCCTCCATTCGGGGCACTAGAGCACTCGCAATGGTGTACTAGTAATCAGGTAGCAATGCGCACCTGTACCATGGACGTGGCGCGGGTCTATCAGCGCGGCGAAGGACGACAAATGCAATCGTATAGACTAAATCGAATCTGTGTATTGAGAAAAGCCTTTCGATTTGTGTTAACAGGATGAAGCATCATCCGCTGGCACAAACCGCGCAGACAACGCCGCAAGACACCACATCATCGTCGCCGAGACGAAAGGAGCAAGAGGAAGGATACCCCCAGTTGCTTACAACTTCTTCGGGCGGATGCGGGCAGGAGGTTCACGGTTGCGACGGCCTTCAGCCGATCGCACGCGCACGATACGTTGATGGATCGCAGCTTCAATGCTGTAGTAGTTCTTGATGTAGATCTTGGGCAACGCGTACGTTTCGTAGACCGAGGCTTCCTTCAAGTCACGCATGGCCGAGGCATCGACAATGTTGCTACAAGGCGGCACTACATCAGTGCAAAATTCATCCCTGGCGCTGAACCCAAATTCCAAGAATCGCAACAAAAAAGCCGCGCAATAGAGTGTAGCGTTGCTCGGGCCTACGCCGTGCTCCGATGTTGCCACGACCTCTCATGTCAACCCTGTGCCTCCACGTCCCTAGATATCGTCCAAACACACATACCGGACGACAAAGCGCTTGATGGCCTTGTCCTTGGGGATCAACTTGGCCGTCGACACGCAGTGCACGCGCTTGACGTGGCCGCGGTTCTTCTTGTTACGGCCGTGGTTGCGTCGCTTGACAGTCATCTTTACTGCTTTTCTCGTAAAATGACGGTGGGAACCATTCGTTAGGGCCAAAACACACCAAGCGGGAAACCCCTACCCCTTCCCCCGCCATTCATTGGTGGGGGACCAGGTGCAATACAATTGGCCAAAAGTATCTCATTTCAACCAATAGTTGCGCTTCCTCGTGCACGTGTTGCCCTTTAGGATTGGGTATTGTCGATTCTTTTTGGCCAATCCGTTGTCTCGAGGGGTTTGGGCATGGCGCATCGGAACTGGGCCGTCTTCTGCGCTGGCTGTAGCAACCTCCTGGTCGAGTATGGGAAGCGCGGAAGCGGAACGTCATCCCTCGTCAAGCTCATCCCTGCAAGGATCCTCAAGTCGTACGTGACCGACATGGGGACCTGCCCTTCGTGCCATAGTATCTTTGCTAGACCATTTCAATACAAAGGTCAGCTCGCGTGGAAGCTCATGACGCGCAAGATATTTGTCAAAAAATAGAGGCAACCAGCTTCCAACACGGCCGTCAAACTTCATGTGCGCCGACTGAAACTCGCATGCGAGTCACTTCTGAACGTTGCTTGTGGCTTGCACCATCGCACGTTGCTGCATTCCATGGGGGCGTTATCGTTAACTTGGTAGTATTGACTACAACTCGATTCTATGATCTCTGCTGATGTTTACGCTGCAAATATCGCGCCTTTGCCGCGGCAACTGCATCATGGCTGGTCTTTTCCTTTGTCTTCTTGACGGATGGGGCGATTTCGATGGCGACCTCGGCTGGCCCTGATGCCTCTTGAAGGACGGGCACAGGTCGCTTGGTCAATGCATAGCACTCGTTCAGGGTAAGCCGTTTGGTCGGCTCGTACAGTTTTAGCCATGCAGGGTCGACGTCCAAGACATGCCGCATGAAGGCTACCCATCATGAGCATGAGCCACGCCACCGTGCAACATGCCTGTGGAACTAACCAACACAGCTAGACTTTACCTCGACTTGTGTAGACCAATTCGTGGTAAATGCACGTGTGGGGTGGGGACATTTCAACAAAGACGGACGACGGATGGAAATGGACGAGTTGAGTGCCTTGCGTGGCGTCGTTGGCAGGCGCGAGTACTCGGTATACTGGTTGCATCATGCACTTTTGGGCGCCGTGCTGAAAGAATCCAGCGCAAACTACACCACAGTGACCTCTCTGACATCAATACGTATGGAGCAACGTACCTGCCAGGCGGATACGGTCCAGAATTTCCATCGACTTGATGTCTGTCGAAGCCGGGAGTTGGAAAGCCCCGTGCTTGTTGGTGGGGGCATCGATGGCTTTGTCGACCAGGTCTTGAAGCTGTTGTTGGATGCTGGACGCAGTCTGGAACGCACGCGCGTGGAGTCCATGGATTTCACACCATCCAATTCGGTCCGACTGTTTTTTCCACGCATGAAACACTACGCAACTGCTTTGAGAGACGCTTTGGCAGTGACGAGCACGACAATTCCGTAATGTCTTGCGTACAGTTGAGTAGGGTCAAGTGGTCGCCTTTGGGGTGGTGGAATCGTTGCAGCAAGGGCGGCCGGCCATCCTTCTCCTGGTACGGCAGCACAACGTTCTCGACGGATAGCATGGCGACGATCCGAGTGACGTCCGCCGCACAATCCAATCGAATCGCTTCCAGCAACACACTTCAACACAAAAATCACAGTCAGAGGCATCGAATTGGTCATGAAAACGTGATGGGAATACCGTGCCAGCCGGGGTTCCAGTGGGAACTGCGCCATCGCCTTGCCCGTCGCGGTGACGTCGCCTGTGTCGTCCAGGGCGCCTACATTCAGTCGGTGAATACAACTGGCATCCCGTCAACGACGCACCGAGCGTGTACAATTGCTGGAGGGCGTCCAAGATCGAGTCTTCTTGGGGTGGGTCCAAGTACCCAAACCCGACAACGTCGTCGATGCCCAGGACTTTCAAGTACAAGATCGTGTTGGCCAAGTTGGACCGCTGAATCTCCGGAATTGTTTCGTTGAACATCGCCGAATACGATTTCTTGGAGTAGAGACGGTAGCACTTGCCCGCGCTCGTCCGACCCGCACGACCCGCGCGTTGTTGGGCAGAGACCTATACCAAAGGGCGAGGTGAATCGAAACGCCACCAGCCCTGATATCTGCTACGACCACACCTGCGAGATGGGCAGCACAACCAGCGATTCCATGCCCCGCACCGGATTGTACACCTAGCCATGCAATCATGCATCACTGGTACACAGGTGGATCAAGAGCTCTTGCAAGGGAGGACTCATGCACGGAACAACGACGATTTGGACGAGGTCCCCGACGCACCTTTTGCTTGGTAAAGCCAGCGTCGACGACGTACTTGACGCCATCGACGGTGAGCGATGTTTCGGCAATGTTAGTGCACACAATAATCTTGCGACTCTTTCCACATGGACTGAAGATGCGCCGCTGTTTGTCGCTGGTGAGGGCACCATACAAGGGTAGAATGAGCGTGTGCGGCAAAGCAGCTACGCCGCCGTCATGGGCGAGTTGGTCCAGTCGCTTGCGCAGGAGAGCACAGGCTTCTTCGATTTCTTTTTGCCCGGTCAAGAAGACCAAAATGTGACCTATCACCATCATCAAGTGCTGCCGTCGTCGGTGGCATGCCCAAGCCGAACTCTCTACCTTCTGGTTCATGCTCATGAATCTGCATGGTCGTGTCCACAGCCGACTGAATATACGTGGAGACTGGCCCCGACTTGCCCATAATTTGGTGCTGCTTGGAATGGTAAATGTCGACTGGAAACGACCGCCCAGGAATCTGAACCACGGGGCAGTTGTCGAAGAACTGGGAAAATTTGTCTGCGTCTAGAGTCGCCGACGTCACGATCAGCTTGAGGTCTCTGCGCTTCGATAGGATCGAATGCAGCAGCCCAAACAGAATGTCCGTGTGGATGCTTCGCTCGTGCGCTTCGTCCAGCATGACGATCGAGTACGCGGACAACAATGGATCTTGAAGGCATTCGCGGACAAGAATGCCGTCCGTCATAAACTTGATCTGCGTGCTTGCGCTTGTGTGGTCGTCAAATCGAATCGTGTACCCCACAGACTAGTTGGAACATCGTGGCGTTGAGTGGGTGGGGTCAAGGATAGAAAGGCAGCGACGAGGAACCTGAATAGAATGGCCGGACGCCGCCAACTCTTCCCCCACACGCTTAGCCACGGCGACAGTCGCTACTCGCCGAGGTTGGGTGATTGCAATCCGCTTGGATTTTGCATATCCTGCCTCGAGGAGGAACTGAGGAATCTGGGTCGTCTTGCCCGATCCTGTTTCCCCAATACACACGACAATCTACGTCACATGCTGGTATCATCGACAATGCTGCTGCGAAGGAAATACCTGATTGCTTTCGATGGTGTCCAATATTTGCTGCTTGAACTGGCCTACCGGGAGCGACGCTCGCTGAGCTTGGAACGCCTCCACATCCAGTTGAGTCGTGGCGACAGCGTGCTCGTCCTTGACAGATGGTACTTCCTCGCGGGGTTTCTTGTTTGGTCGTTCATGTCTACCCTCATCATCGCGACCATTACGTCGTCGACTGCGAGATCGACTTTCGTGGTCGTGGTTGCGTCTCGCAGGACTCCTGGATCTCGAGCGGGACCGCGGCATGTTTGCTCCTTGTGCCAATTTCAGCCAATCAAAACGATCAATCACGTTTATCTTGGACAAATACAGCTATACAGAAAGCAAGGTAGTTGCACAATCGAAAGGACACAATGCGACAGCTCGCGGCGGTGTGCGCGGCGGTGACCTGCAAGTCCCTTGCTAGTGTGTTCGCTGCAGACCCATGCACCTCGTATCCGTCGCTGACGGTCACTCCCCCGACCTGCACTGCTGTCCAAGTGGGGTAAGTGTGTTTGCACCGCGGCGAAGTGATCGATGTACATCTCAGGTCCAACACGCCTCATGTCTCCCACACATCTTCGATCTTGTCAAGTTGGATTGTAATCGTCGGGGGCTATGCTATCAGCACAGGACAGCCCGTGACGACCAACACTGTCATGTTGTTCGACCCAGCTGCCATCCCTGCATCTGTCGTCATCCCAACGTTGTCGGTGGGATATACTGTCCCCAAACTCATCGTACGACCCATATCGTTGCCATTCACTAACAGTGCACCCATAGCCAACGAGTGTACAACCAGGGTCACGAGCCGAGCACTCATCCATTGTCTGGGACGATGCGATTGTCATCTACGGTGGCCAAAACACTGACTTCATGAACGACATGTGGCGGTACGATGCGTCCAACATGTCGCCCATTGGCCTTATTTGTGCGGCTATAGACTGTGCGTGGGCAGTAGCGGAAGCTCTGGACGATGTACCGTCGCCACGAAAAAGAACGGTGGATCCAGAAAACACTGTGTGCGTTGTGTAGGGGACGAAGTCACTCCCTCGATGGGTTTTGTTCCCTCTGCGCGGAAAGGCCACTCGGCTCTGGTCTACGCCACCAACAGCACAACCATGGTCGCGATGGTGTTTGGCGGGATGCTCGGCACGACGTATCAAGTCCGTCGTCACTCTCTCGTCGGTGTGTTCTAATTCCGGCTACCTTGCAGGACACGAACGATCTCTACTTCACGATCATCTCCAAGTCCGCGGGCTCGACAGCGTGCCAGACCACTCGCCCGATCGTGCTGTGGCAACGTGTCACGACTGTCACAAATAGCACGGGGGGACGTCCGTCCCCGCGATCGTACCATACAATGGTGCTGAATCCCTCGAGCTCCGCTTCGCGCTTTTCAAACTGCGCGATCGTCTATGGCGGCCAGTCCACGGTCGACAACACAATCATGGACGACATGTGGTCCCTGTGCCCCGAGGTAGAGCCTTTTCTCTGGTCACCACTTGACACGTTTCCTGCGGGAAAAAAGCCATCGACGCCATCGAATACTCCCGTCGAGCAGCAAACGTTCGTGTGGACGCAACTGGCTCCTTCCGGGACCAAGATGCCGTTCCCTCGCTTTGGCCACGCAGCCATCGTCCCCATTCCGAACCGATTTATCATTTGGGGAGGCTCCTATCGGTACATCCTCACGTCCCTGTGCCATCCAGCCCACGCAATCGCACTAGCTTTCCCAACGATTACCTCAACGACGCCTGGGAATACGATTTGTACTTGCAACGATGGATTGCCCTGGCACTGGTTGTGGACGGCGCCACACCAATCTCCCCTCGCCGGTGCGGGTCGACATGCGTCGCGGAGGTGTCGACATTTCTGTCCATTAGGTTTCACTCGGCCACGTACACCGCCCAGCGCCAGCTCATTCTACTCGGGGGTCTCGATCGGTACTCGATTGCGAACGACGTACTGGAGCTGCCTCACTGTGGGGACAGATATTCTCTCAAGGATTCGTCGGCGATTCAATGCACGTACACGTCGTCGCAGTGTGCGGCTGGGTCGGTGGCCATGTTTTGCAATGCAACCGATGAAGTACAGACTTTGTCATGGCGTCGAGGAAGGTCCCTCGCGCCTGTGGATGACATGCTGGCGTTAGATTGTCTGCCAGCCGTGCCCCGCGGGGTATTTTGCCGCCGAAGGGGCGAGACAGTGCGGTGTCTGCCCGTCAGGTGGTGCACGCTGCCACTCGCGTTTTCATGTCGACCGTGGACAGGCACGTACTCGACAGACGGGTCGGCGAATTGCACCGACTGCCCCATGGGGACGTACAATGTGCAGTCGGCATCGCCGTCCTTGGCGTCTTGCGAGCGGTGCCCCATCGGAACGTTCTCCACATCCATCCGTGCCACGTCGTATGCGACGTGTCAAAGCTGTCCTGCAGGTGCGCACCGACTGTCTTGACGTCGCATCTCTTGCAATACTGTGCATCGTTTCCTTGAATCATATAGGATCGTTCTCGAACGTGGTTGGGTCGACAGGCTGCACTCCGTGTGCGGCTGGGACGTTTTCAAGTACGTACTCTCGACGACACACGACATGATCTGGTCAACAACATTGGAGCTTCAATGCACTGCGTACTACTGCCCAGGTGCCAACGCTAGCTTGTGTACGGCTTGCGTGGCTGGCACATTCAGTGCGGCCGCGGCCAGCTCGTGCTCGAACTGCGCCCCAGGGTCGTACACACCATTTCCATCCATGAGCTCGTGCTTGGCCTGTCCCCTGGGAATGTACAGCAATGCGACGGCGGCGCAATGCACGGCGTGCCCTCTTGGCACAGCGAGCAGTCGAGTCATGTACTGACAACAACGTTATCATCGCATTATTCGATCTCATGAACACACACACACCAGGGGATCGCTGGCGGACTGTGTTGCGTGCGCGGCGGGGTCATATGCCGATTCCTTGGGGCAATCCACGTGCACGTTGTGTCCCGACGGGTCGGCTTCGTCGGTGGTTGGCAGCTCCTCTCGGGCGTCATGTACACTTTGCCCCATGGGCACGTTTTCAAAAGCAATCAAGTCGACGTGCACGCCGTGTCCTCGCAGCACGTATGCACACCAAACTGGTACTTGTGTCCACCCTAATGCTTTAAGTGTCGGCGATGCTGACACGACGACCCAGGCTTGGCCGCATGCTTTGCATGCCCCGCGAATACCTTCACCAACGGCTCAACTCTGGCCACGTCAATGGCCGCTTGCATTCCGTGCCCAGTGGGGACTCAGTTGCATGCTGCGTCTGGCACGTGCACGAATTGCCCTCCAGGCACACGTCGCAACGTCAACACGTCGGGCTGCGTCCTCTGCCCACCAGGGTCGTTTACGGCGACCGAAGACGACGCTCAAGCCACACAATGCACCGCGTGTTCGCCCATGCAAGCATCCTCGAGCTATGGTACGAGAACCACAACGAACGTGGAGAACACTTCCATCACGTGCCGTCTGTACAAATGGCGGTAGGGTCATCGTCGTGCGATGGTTGCACCCTTGGAACGTACTCATCGAACCAGTGGAGCACGTGTTTGGCGTGCGCGACGCCGTGCCCCATCGGCCGCAACGGACTCGTGTGCTCAAATCAAGGCACGTGCGCTTACGGAGGCTGCACGTGCAACTCAAACTCGTACGGGTTTGCATGTGGGTCCATCGTGCAGTTGGCGGCGACGACCACCAGCGGCGTCATCTACTTTGCCACGTCCAACAACACGATTCTGTACGATAACGTGACCAACTCCGTGACGCTGCAACGAGAAGGCGGGTGCCGGGTACGTTGGACACCACCTTGGCACGATCATGTTGAATTTGGCGACGAGTTGGTAGGGCGCTCTTAGCGTTGTTGTGTCGACTGGTGGAGGCAATGCGACAGCGACCAACGGCGGGCTCTCTGTGGGGTGGACCGCCACTGTGACCTTTACGGACCAGCAAGTCACCAAGACACTGACGCTGCCCCTGCACACCGTCACGCAGGGCTGTGCTTCCCTTCGACTCGTCCTGTCTGATCCGTATCCATCGCAAGTATCGTCCAACGTGTCGGCGACGGACGGCGCGAATGTTGTCATTCTTGTACAAGCCACCACCGTTGCCACCACGAGTGTGCTCCAAGTACATTCGATTCCCACCACTCGATCGGTGCATGGCATGGTGTTTTGATAGGTCGTTGCCACCACGACTGGCTACAACATTTCGATCGCGGTGTCGAGCACCGCTGCGACGTCGACGAGTGTGACGCTGCCGCCCTTGGCCATGCCATCCATCAATACGTTTCTATACTTTGACACGAATGTCGATTTGACAGTTGTCCCGCTTGTGCCGGCAATGCTGGCCGCCCTCGAGGTGCACACTCCCCCCGGGATTCGTTTTGTGCTCACATGCCATCGTTTTGTGCAGGCGCAATTTGCTTTGAAAGACTGGCGGTTTGCACACAATATGAATGGGACTCCGGCGTTTATCAACGACGCCGCGGGGCTGTACACCCGCTTGAACGGTGCCACCATTCATCTTCGCCACGCAGTTGTCTTGCCAACGAAAAACTCAATATGCCGTTTGTACTGGTAGCCATCGCAAGCGTCGCGGCCACACCGTTCCATGGCGAGTTCCTCAACGCGACCTATCTGTCGAGTCTTCCATGGGCACCGGGAGCATTGCGACAAGTGGTCGTTTTCACAGCCGCCACAGCGATCGCGGCTTCGACGTCCGCCGCCAGCATTCGACAGGTGCTCGTCAAAGCCTTCCATTGTAGCATTGGCGACCGAGTGAGGCGATGTCTGTCTAGGAATGCGTTCAAGCAAACGCAATTCCTTTGTTTTTCACATCGACCGGCGCGTTTCCCACCATGTCGGCGTTAGCGTCAAACATGGGAATTGGAGCGATTCGATCCTACACGCCAAGGTGCGTGTCAAAGCGACCAAGGCACACTGACATGCCCTGGGCAGCACATTTGTGACAACGCTCGGACAACTTCTCGAGGCCGAATCCCCGGTAAAATCTCTTTCCACACAGACCTTTCAAACCATAGCGTCGTAAGCGGTGGTGGCGACGTGGACTCAGGTTGGATTTTACGTGGTGTCGAACCCGTACACGCTCGTCCAGGCTGCGTCTGGCACCCGGCAAGCGGTGACGTTGTCGTTTCGGAAAGCTACAGCGATGGATCCATCCCCGATTTTTGTCGTGGCAAATGCCCTCGGCCTTGGGGTTCTCCAACTCACGCTTTTCACAAGTCTTTCATCGTGCTCGCCCCCGCCAGCAGCCGCCCCGACATGGCCAGTGTCGACTGGCTGGATCGCTCCGTACTCGTTAACGACCGACCTTGCTGCCCAGTGGACACTGCAAACAAGTCCTTCGACTCAAACAACGCTGGTTGCACAGTCGTCGCCACAAGGTCCAGGCATGACGATTCAAACGAGCTCAAAAGCCAGTTATGCCCAAATGGTTCCTGTGCATCTCCAACCCGCCACCCCGCTGATTGTGCGCGCGTATGTAAAAGGCTCCGTCTCCACGTACGCACTCGCGTTGAACTGTGAGCATGTGCTATATCGGCATGAATTGTTCAGAGGGTCCATCGAACTCGTTCTGTACGCATCAAACGGTGCAACTCGGGTGGCGCTGCCACTGCTGACCGTCAATCCCAGGTGTCGATCCTCGAACGCTAGCCGTCGATCCATGCTGTGGCTGATTCCCCCGTGGTTTGATCTAGTCTTCCAGATTGGCAATTCGTGTATGCTCGTGTGATCTTGAACGACACGACAATGTCGCTACAGCTCGTCGTCAACACGTCCACGACCCTCCAAGTCGCAAACCTTGGCATGTACCCCGAGCCAGCGTTTGCATGCCAGTAGGAGCTGCTACGACGTAGCCGTCTTGTCGGGATCGCCTCACACACGTGGACAGGTGCGGGCCAGGATTTTTTGTTCACAAAGGCGCGTGCCAGCGCTGTCCGAGTGGATTTTCGTGTGGCGGTGGGGTCCTGTCGGCCTGCACCAAGCAAACGTACTCATTTGGGGCGTTTGCTACATGCAAACCATGCCTCCCTGGTGCGTCGTTGACGTGAGAGAGGTCGTTCCATGTGGTCCGGAACGTAGGATGGACTTGCTCGGGCGGTCTTGCGTTGCCGTGCCCTAAAGGCACCTACACAACAGACGCGACCACGTGTGTGCCATGCCCCGCTGGATTCAAGTGTTTCCAAGGCCAAAAGTACAACGGATGGTGTGTGTTATGGAGGTTCATGGGAGTGTTAGGACGTCGTGTGCAGCGGGGACATTTGCCCCCGGGAATTCCTCCGTGTGCAGTCTGTGCTTGCCTGGAACGTATGCTAGCTCGGGAGGGTACTGTACGCCTCGGCAGCACGTTTGATTGTTGACCCGATCGATGGAGTAGCGCCAAGGATTGTGCGGTGTGTCCGCCAGGATATACCTCGAATTACCGTCGGGACCACTGCATTCCGTGTGCGGCTGGAACGACATCCACTCAGGTGTGTGTTTTGAGGTCCATTCAAGATGAAAAGAGAGCTTGAAATGGATGGCATGGAGTAGGGGGAGAAGGGGTTTCGGTGCAAGTCGTGTGAAAAGAATACGTTTGCTCTTGCTGGAGCGACGACTTGCACAAGTTGCCCCAAGGCACATGCCTCGTGCAAATTTATGGATTTGACGAGTGTTGTGAGTAGGGGTCGATGACGCTACTTCCAGGGTCCCTATGGTGCTTGGCCTGTCCGTCCACCTCAACCGACCCCCACTGCCTTCCGTAAGGCGAGACGAACACAGTTGGCACTTAATTCCACCTTGAGTCACTATAATTGCAGCCTCGTGCCATGCACACCCTGGCTAGCACCCGAACTCGAATGGCTACCCATTCCACACCCTGACTCGAATCGCTCGACCACACAGTTCGAGGCCATCCAACTCCAACGCTTTCTTCAACGCGTCTTGAACGTCAAATGCAACGTGAACGACCGATTGCGGTACGCCGGTGGCCGACACGTCCCGGTGAAAATGCGCGAGGGGACCGCAGATGCTAAACATGCGGCGAAGCGCGTCGCTGTTCGCTCGTTTTGAAACGTTGGACACGTGGACTTGAAACCGAGGCGGCTTTGAGATTGGAGCCGTCGACGATGATGAACGACGTCGTTTGGGGATCGTAAAGGCCGGCTCCCAGGCGTCGGATGCAACGGACCGGGACCGCTTCTTGGTCTTGTCCGTACTGAAAAGATCGCGGGGGAGCGAAGGTGGCGACCGACGCGATGGAGACTGGTGATCACGGATGGTGGAGCCCCCGTTTTGCGGGCCGTAGCAGCTTGGTTTGGAGTGATGGGCCAGATGGGCTTCGCGGGCTGGATCGCGAGGATTGGACTTGTCGCGTTGAGGGTGCTGGCTCATTGAACGATGCCGCTGCATGTGGCCAAAAGAAGGAGCGATGCTTTTTGACCGCTTTCGGTTCAACGTATGGCGGAGGTCTCCTTCGGCGAATCTTGACGTCGACGGGTGAAGGATGGACCGTGGCATGGATGGCTTGGGCTGATGGGACCGACTCCCGTAACTGGGTTCGTCTATCTCGTCCGGACTTGACATGGACAAATCGACTACATCATGCCGGGAAACACTTTTCGATCTGGAAGGCGTGTCATGTCGATGCGATTCGCTTTTCGACCGAGACGAGAGTTCCAATCGATGGGTTACGCTCATGGATCGGCTGGAGTCGTGTGTGGCTCGCTCACGCGTTGGGCGTACCGGACCATGATCTTGGCCGGCCGACGTCCTCTGGTTTTCTTTCGGACCGTAATGACTCCTCGATCTCTCGCGGGGCCGCTCTACCCGACGATTGGGGCGGTCGTGGGTCCGCTCTTTGCTTCGGCCTTTCGCCCTGTCGTCGGTCGATGGTCGACAGTGACTCTTCGATCTATGCCGGTCGTGGTTTGACCCACACTTCTCATACTTGTCGCGGCATCGACTCTTGGATCGATCCCGCGAGATTGCGCCATTGCGAGGTCGACTTTGCGACCGATCTTTTCCGCACTTGTGCCTTGTGTCCCATCGGCTGTTGCCCCCACGCCGCATCTTGCGTCGATCGTCGTCGTCTTGAAACCGGTCATGTTCCCAACGCTCCGGGCTGTCGTTGCGGCTAGACCGCCGCTCCCACGTCCGTCCCCGGCGGTCATCAGGGCTGCGTTCGTCGGGACTTGGTTGTGTTTTGCGCCGAAACTTGCGCATTTTCTTCTCGACTTTGGCCATCATGTCCTTATTGCATCGATCGCCGAATCGAACCTTCAATTGTCGGCCCATCAATGTTTCTCCGTCCAGCAACAAGGCCTGAACCCCTTCGTCCGCTGTGGCAAACGTTATGTGACCCCATTGCGGCTGCGAACCCCGCCGAAAGTACCGAATGTCGCCGCAGTGCTTGAAGAAGCGGCGCACATCTGCATCCGTCGCGTTACTGCTCAGGTTGCCCACGTAAAACACGCACATATCCATCGACGGATGGTATGGGATGGTGCGCGACAAGCCAGATGCAGAGTCAGAGGACAGCTGCCTCGCGTGGGAGTGAGACCGAAGGCGGCGAGAAAATGGAGTAGTTGAAACGGGCGGTGACCGCGGTCGCGATTTGGATCTGTACAACGTGGGGTGCCGCACGGAATCGGGGCTGTCCGGTCGCACTCTCGACGTGGATCGATGGACTCGTGAAGGTGATACGGAAGTGGGCGCGTGGGAAGCCACGGATGACTGAAGGGTGCTGGTTTGAGGTGCTTTCGACGATAGGGTGTCGACGTCGCTGCGAGGTCGGGACTTGTCCCGCGGGTCGGCTGGCCGACGCTCGTAGTTGTACAGACCGCGCATGCTTTCGAGTCGCTTTTCTGGCGCGGGCACAGGTCGCTTAGTTGAAGTCAATGGCGTTGGCTTTCGAGTGGGAATGCTCCATGATTCATCCACTGCGGCCGGTGCTGTTGAAATCTGATGGGGAGGCGACGGGATAGCGGCTGGCAGGGGAAGCGCCGGACTGATCGGAGATGTCCATTGTTGTTGATCTCGACTCTGCGCTGCTGCTGCTGCTGCTGCGTAAGCGTCGTGTTGAAGCAGATGCTCGAGAATCAACTTGTTTTGCTTGATAGTCGCCCACTCAATTGCTGTCTTGCCATTATGAAAGGACAGGTTTGGATTCGCGCCTTGCTTGAGAAGCGTCACGACGTTCTCGACGCTTTCGACTTCGCATGAGTACGCCAAGAGCGCGCCAAGCGTGTTGTTTTCTTCGGGCACGTACACCTCTGGTGGCGTGTTGGTAGGGGGTAAAAGGGAGTCAAGCCACGACGGATCTAGCACGAATGTCATGGCGTCACACGCGTAATGGACATGATCACATCGTACCAAGGTTTTGTTCCTCGAGGTCATGGCCTCCATCACCGAGGAGTAAATCGTCCAGGGTCGGCCCGCCGTCGACCATTGCCGCCGCCGCCGTTGGAGCTGTGGCGGATTTTGTGGACTTTCAGCTGATGGCCACATTCGATTGGCTCATACGACTATCCAATCAGATCGTTCTATTTCCCAAAGATTTGAGCCGTTCAAGAAGGCGCGACCATGGGAATCGGGTGCGCCAGGTCCACCCGACAACAAGGGGCAGAACGATCCGAGCTTTGCCGGCGGCGTTGAGCCCACCAGGATATACCTCCAATTACCGCCGGGACAAGTGCAATCCGTGTGCGGCTGGGGCGGTATTTGGTGTTTCGGAGGTCCATTCTCGATGAAAAGTGCATGAAACGGCTGGCATGGAGCAGGGAGAGGAAGTGTTTCGGTGCAAAGCTTGTGGAATCAACACGTCTTACCAATAATGCCGTTAGTAGACGAGGTGCGCAGCATTTGCCTGGATCCCACGGAACCCAACGACAACGACTCGGAACGACATCCCTGTCTGCACAAGGGACCATCGCTTTCATGTTGGGTGTTTGACCATGAGGGGCATGGCGTAGCACCCACCGATTGACTACTGTGACGACAATTTTGCTTGCGCTCCCTCGGACGACAGAGTGCGTGGCGTCGGTATCGCAATCATATTTCCGTCATAGTCTCGTGGTTTGTTTAGGGCAAACCACGAGACTACGACGGAAATATGATTGTAATTCGAAGTGATGTTCGACGAGAACCGTGCTCAGCAAGATATGGTGCGAATGAGCGCGACGACCCACTTCTGCTTCAGCTCGTGGGAGAAGTGGATTTTGTTTTTGCCGTCAAGGGCACGTATCTGCGAGGCGCAAGCCCCGACGTGACTTCGTTGGATGGAACGTCCGCGCACATTGTGGCTGCAAGCTTCGGGAAGTTGACATTTGCTCGTCCATGGTGCTCTCTTAGAAGACGAACACTATGCAGGCCGTAAGTATCCACCGGTCCATGCGTTGCTCGGTCGAGTGCACGACTATTGTGGGGATTGCAATGCGTGCCAAGAACTGTGGATCCCCAATTACTCTCTGTGCTGATTGACGGGAAATTGCGGCGGCCGAGATTATCAACGAGCTCACTGGGCGCAAGCAACACTACTGCCAATGGCACACTGGACACGACAATATCGCCGACTTAGCCTAACTTACCACATCTCCGAGACGCTCTGACACCGATATTCCATCGGCAGATTACGGCCAGCGACGTGTCATGCATTATGTGTAATGCATTAGCGCAAGGACGACGGTCCGTTGTTCGTGCCAGAGGCCTCGAGCTTGGCGGCGAAGGGGGCTGGTGGGGGAACGACCGTCTCGATGGGCTCGAGCTGGTTGGTGTCGTCCATGAGGTTCACATCCATCTGCAGAGGCTTCTGGCCATAGTCAATGGACGTGAGAGGGTTGTGCAACATTTACCTCAGATTTGGTCACAACACCGTTGTCGTTGGAAGGCTCCATCGTCGTGGCGACAGCGATCCGTTCTTCGGTCGCCGCAGCGCGACGCCGCCACGTGGACTTCCCCTAACCTATCCATCAGTCTCGATGCAATCTCCATGTCCTCAAGGATTGTGGCGTACAGGAGATCTCGCATGGTCGAGACACCCCAACTTCGCGATGTGAGCATCCATCAGCGTCGGTAGCGCCGACGTCAATGCCTAAAGGTCGCCATGGCGTAGTGGATGAGCGCACCAGAACGAAGTGGATCGTAATGTACAGTACCATATCCGGGTATTTTTTCGTGGCTATGATGCCAAGTGCTTCGAGGAACATGGGATAGGCTATCCGACGCACTCCTTTCGCTTTGACTTTGACAAAGATGAGATCGATGTCGACTGTCGAAAAATGCCCACCCACAAGGTCGGGACATTCACGGCAAAACTTGGCAAAATTCGCATTATCTACCATGCGTCGTATCAGAGCTGGAATCACATGGATGCGTACCCATGGTGACTTCTGACGTGCCGTGGGCACCGGTGCGGCCATATCGACAGTAAAATTGAAACACTCCTCGGAGAAGGGTGTGAGGGTCGTTCGGGTCGCCGTCGAGTGTTGCTTGAGGACATGGTGTCGCGACGGACATCTTCGAACATCCCAATTAATGACAGAATGAGAAAAGATGCAAGTACCGTTGCCACAGACGCGTCGAGTAGTGGGCAAGATTTCGTCGACCGGATCGTACGTCGATGCTTGATTTTATCACTTGGACGCTTACGAGTTGCTGCTGAGGATGCCACTTGTCCATAGAGTCGAGTGAACACGTCTTCCTTCTCATCCGTCTTCGATTCCATCGTGCAGTCGTGAAGAGAGCGCTGTAGAGGCAGGTGATAGCCGGGCTGTCGTGCTGCTGGTGGTGATGGGGCGGCAGAGAAGACGGGGCACCTGCCGAACTTGGCGCGAATACCCTTTGGCAATTTTGACAGAAACGTTCAAAATGAATGCCACACAGCCAATTAAATGAATCTTTGAATTATATGTGATAAATGTGAGTTCATTTATTTGAAATTGTGTCGACGTCATCTGTACAATGGTGACGTTAAACGGTTCATTCATGTTCACGTCCACGGAATGGAATACTGTAAACCGCGACTTCAATGGGTGGTCTCTGGATAAAGCCAAACAAATGTATAACTCTATCGTCGAGATAATGCATGACGACGGGGCAATGTCGAAGCAATGTAGATTGCGGTGATGGCCATGTGGCCGGTATTCAGCGGTTTCTAGAAATTTGGAGGGAGAGCGCTTCCAACGTCCGGATAAGCATATCCGGTATGGATCTGGAGTACTAGTATTGAAATATTCGTGGAAAAATAAATGTAGAGACTTTGTTTTATTCCGAGCTAATTTTACTATGGAATTTTTACATTGATGGCAATATTATATGCTGGAAAATGAACAGAACTTCATAAAAATATTCATATTGTGCGGCGTATAAATATTGCCCTCGTCCCACGACGACGTGCAGATTCCGCAGTCCTGCCCGCAGCATTGGCATGGAGGAACCGATGCATGAAGAAGAGGAATGCCGCGTATGTCGTGGCGAAGAAGTACGTGTGTCCTGGACGTATAGATGCATGGGAAATCGTAGTAATTTGAGTGTAGGAGCCTGGACGCCGTCTCTTTGCGCCATGCAAGTGCAGCGGCTCCATTCGGTTTGTTCACTCGGACTGCTTGACTGAATGGCTCGCGATCTGTAAGAAGGACATATGCGAACTATGCGGCTACAAGTTCTCGTTTCAGCCTGTGTACGCAGAAGGGTCTCCAAGGACGCTTCCGACGCAGGAACTGCTTTTGTCCGTGGTCATCGTTGCACTCAAGAAATGGCTGCCACTGGTTATTCGCGCCGTGCTGGTGTTTCTCGCTTGGGGCGTCGTCGCACCATGGTGCACGAGCTGGTTGTATCGGCTGTGGCTGTTGCGTGCTGCAACGATGGGGTCGATGAACTTGAACGACCGACTCCAGAATTACGACTTGATCTTGGCGGATGTGCTCTCCGGCATTGTCTTGGTCGTTGTGATAGTCTGCTCTTTTCTGTCGCTGATGAGTTTCGCGGATTTTTTGCGCTTCAATATGGACCGCATAATGGAAGAGCCGCTGGTACACGACGACGCAGAGGAACTCCGCCATCGCGAAATGCTCGTGGCGCAAGAGATGGAAGCGGTTGAGATGGCCGTGCCCCAGCCACTGCACCAGCAGCCCCTACAACGTGGCCAACAGCATAACCACGCCCGCCGCCTCATCGAGCGCATCGACGGTGTTGATGAGTGGCTCGGTGACCATGATGAGAGCGATAGCGACAACGATGCGTCCGATGATTCCGACGAGGACGGCCCGAACGGGGTCGAACTGCAGTTTGCTCGTCGCGTCCACGAGTTTCGCGTCCGCCAACCGATGGCTGGCCAGCCTGAACCGGTGGCACCACTGCCCCAACGTGACATGCATCCCCGCCGCCTTCGCCTGCGAATTCAAGACAACTTGCCACTGTTCGACCACGCGATTCAACTCATCCCACACGCCGCTGTATTCCGGCCGCATGTCGCGCGCAACGTCCGCCCCGATCCCCGCGTCGCAGAAGCGAACAACGCAAACCCACGTCGGCGCCGACCGCTCAACGGCCCTGCCGCGCGAAACAACGTTCGGAATAATCAAGGCGATGGACTCAACAACCCCTGGGACGATGACCTGGACCACATGGAAATCAATATTGCGATGGACGAAGTCATTGGGTTCCGCGGCCCCCCATACGTGTTGCTGCGCAACGTGTGCTGGTTTTTGGCTTTCAACGGCGCGTACCTCGGCATCTTGGCTTTTTTACCGTACACCCTCGGCAGCACGATTGTCGTGTCCATCGCCAAAGGATTGAACCAGGTCGTCGGCGAAGAGGCCCATTTCGATCCTGTGACCTCCCTGGGGTTTGATGCCTCCAGCGGGTGGGCACACTTCGTTGGCAAAGTCGCCAACACGACCAGCCTCGGGCAATCCCACGGCGACTGCCTCCAACTCGTCGACGTCCTCACGTGCGGTGTGGGGTATTTCGGTTTCTGTGTTGCGGCCATGTCGTGGCGCGTGATGGTCAACACGATCTCGCTGTACACTCCGCACCCGCTGCTCGCAGGCATGCTCGGCTTCCTCAGCTGCATGAATGCCCTGGTTAAGGTCGGCGCCCTCCTTCTGCTCAAGATGATTGTGTTGCCCATTATTCTCGGGTATGGCCTGGACGCTGCGACGCTCACGCTCTTCTTGGCATCGCCATGGGATCGCCTTGACTTTTTCTTGGACCAAATGCTGACATCTCTGATGGTGCATTGGGTCCTCGGTATCAGCTTCATGCTGTTTGTGACGGTGGCCGTTCTACAGCTCCGTGAAGTCATGCACCCCGATATTCTCGCCGCGACAATTCGCCCCCAAGAGCCCAACCAAGACATCTTGAAGAGCATGCTGGCCGAATCGAGCGTCAAGCACGCGCGCCGCATGGTCCTCTCCCTTGCAATCTACGCCATGCTCTTGACGACCCTCGTCTTTCTCCCCGTGCGGTTGGCTTATATGGCTGTGCCGACCCTCTTCCCCCTCCAATTTACGTTCCATTACGTCTTTGCGCCACTGCAAGTGCCGCTCGAACTCGTCCTGGCCCACATGACAGTGCTCAACATCCTTGACACGTACAAACACGAATTGGGCCACATGCAGGCGAAGTGGATGTCGACGCTGTGCCGCCGCTTGGGCCTCGTTGAGTACTTACTCCCACGGGTTCCCGCGCTCCCTACTGGTGCATCCCCCTCGATCGATGATAGCATCATCTTGGGTGTCCCCCCGCTCAGCTTCAATCCTGTGAACGACCCCCCGCCAGTCCAGGAACGTCTGTACGGCGCAAGGTACGTGCCGTGGCCGGAAGATGGCTTGGTGGACCCGACTGTCGTCGAATACAATCTTCTCCCCCGCACGATTCCAACCCATTTGTCGCTTCGACTGGGGGCGTTGATGGCGTGCTGCTGGGTCACAACGGTGATCATGATTGGCATGACGACGATGAGCCCTCTGTATCTTGGCCGGCTGTCGATGGCCATGTTGGAACAATTCTCGGGCCTCCGCCACGACTCTTTGAATGCCGCGGCTGGTGTTGTCGCGATGTGGGTCCTCATCAACGGCTTCAAGCTGTGCCGAGTGTTTAGCATTCAAGATAGTGACGTGCATCCTCAGCTGCTCGCGCAGGGTTTTTCGATGCGGCACTTGAGCAGGACGGCCCTCGTTCAGTTGGGTGTGACTTGGTCGATCGTGTTCCCAGTCCTGATTGGGCTTGTGGGGTCGCTGTTGCTCCAACAAGTTCTTTCCTGGTCGCATCTTCCACAAGTTCGTCTGCAGTGTCGTTGTCTCCGGTCCAGTCTAACTTCTTTCTTGGCTGTAGATGCATGCGTTTGGCTTTGTCGTGCTGCACCTATTTGTGTGGTGCATTTGCTATTTCCCCCTGACCAAGCGCCGCCACAATCAAAATGTCGAGCCGGAGGTAGTTGCCGCAGACGCTCCTGCCCCAGTCGACCGCATTGACGAACTCCGCCAAGCCGAACCAACCGTGGTCAACTCGATGCAACTGGGGTTCGAACAGTTGCGATTCCACGTGCAGTCGAACGACGATGGCGTCGAACACGCGCGCGACCTGCGCCACCGGCGTTTCGACATCCAGCGCTTTCACGACCATGTAATTGTTCCGTTGGGACGGGCGATCGTGGTGTGCACCGTGCTCCCGTGGATGTGCACCAAGGCGTATGCCATGCTCGGATGGTCCAACTTGAACGAAACGCACGTGTTCCGCGCGGCGTTTGCGACTCAAGTGTTTGGCCTCGCCATAATCACGTCCAAGTCGACCGCATCGAGTTGGTTCCGTGCGCTGCACGACTCGATTCGGGACGAGCGGTACCTTGTTGGAAAGCAATTGCAGGACATGGTCCGATAGGTGTCGAGAAGGGATTGATCGCGCAGTAGGTGCATCCATAGAGCAAGATGAAAAATAATAGTCGCCATCGTGTTATGAAATATGGTCTAGTGAAGTGGCAGGGGATGCATGGCTGGGACGAAACCAGCGGCCATGGCGTCGGCGGCGGATGTGGTCGGTCAGCACCAATTCGAGCCCCAATGAAAGGTGCCACTAAAAATAGGGGCGCAACACCCTCCGCTATTTTAACGATCAAGTGCTGACCTGCCCAGCCCTTCACAGCACCGGAGAAGCTGCCGCCGCGCCGCTCCATCCGCGTGGGATATCATCATGTCCATCTTTGGCAACTCGGATAGATTCGTCGCAGATGCAGGTACTCTCGTTGCGTGGGTCTTGAGGTTCATGGTGCGTCGCCTACAGCGAGGTCACCCGGGCCCATTTACCACAGCCACGTCGAATCACTGGAGCATTCGCCCAAGAAAGGTGCGATTGCCCTTCGACGAGATCACGCGCAGCCCCAACCAGATGCGACGGGAGGGCATGGCCATCGGGATAGCTGGATCAAGGGTAGGGAGGAAAAAGGACTCGATCGCCACCCCGCCCGTCGACTCACACCACTCTAGGGCAATTCTCGCCCAGCATTTCCATCCACGACTCGGGTGCGGAAACATTCCGTCGGTCACATGCACATGACAGGTCATCCAGGCATTCATCTGTCGCCGAGTCACTACGACGCGGACGTTTCCATCATCAAGTCTCGGTTCCCAAGCCTCAGTTTTCCAAAATCCGAACGCTTCTTGTCGCAGAAAGGTGCAGCCCTCTCCCATATGTCGTTCATCCGAGTCACATTTTGGCAGTATGCATGACGGACAAACGCCACCAGCGCGAACTCATCGCGACCGACAGCCCAGGACCAAAATACAACGTGGAAGTGCGGCAGTACAAGACACAAGCACCCAAGTACACGTTTCAAAAAGGCCAAGTCCAGTGTGTGAAAGCGGGGTCACCAGTCAAGAGGTAGGGAGCCAAAGGCCTCTTTGCTCGGGAGCTTACATTCAGGGCCTTTCACAGCCATCGAGAGTCCTGGCTGTCTGTGATCAATCGAAAAGGCGTCCTCTTGAGCCCTCCAGCGCACCAATCTAGGACGGACGATATGTCCAACGTCGCCCCGTCGATGCTTGCGTCGGAGAACCAAACGAGTGTACGTTTCGCACGGCATCCCATCCGTCACGAGAGTCTAGGAATACGGGATGCGACCGACGTCCACGTCCAAATTCGGCACCGCGCCCCGGTTTGGGCTTCGAGAAACGCGACGAAAAGACCAAAGTACCGTCGGCATGCAGCGAGTGCAGTACATCTCAGCGCGGCATGCTCGGGAAAACATGGGTATCGCTTCGGCAGTACACAGGAAAACCCTTTGATTCACGCATTCCAGGCGAATTCTCCCCTGGCCCCATTTACACTCCCTATAAACCCCCGCGCCCGGGCGGGCGCCTTGCGCCAGCTACAAAGTTGAGTTCGCCGACCAAGTACGACGAGATACGAGGTACTTTGTCCGCCTTGGGTGCCCTGCACTACATGTCGACCTCCTAGCGCCAGACACAAACCTGAGCAGTCGAAGTTGTTGGCTATCGGGAAACATTCGAAAGAACTCGGGGCGCGAAATCATGCTGATGAAAACGGGCGACATGGCTCCTGGCCCGGGGGCGTACTCGCACTCATCGTCCGCATTTGCCAGCGCTAACTTTTCACACAATGTCAAAGTGAAGCGAAAGGATTTACAAGCACACGTACGTCGTTCCCATGCGCCCTCGGATGATGTACTGGTGGGTCTAGGCTCCGCCAAGGGGTGGTGGCTGGAATGGAAGGAGCCCGCGAGGTCGACCTTCACCGAAAGAACCCACCATTCAAGACGTCCCAGTCGAGCCCTCCTCGAGTCCCCACGCAGACGAAATCCCCCCGCCGACGGCAACATGATCATCCTGGTAGCAATCCTTAATATATGCCACTTCGGTGCCGGCTCAAGCACGTAAACAACACTTTGCATGTTCGAAGATGACTTTTCAATATTGATAAAATATTCAGTGCCAGAGGTCGTTTCAAATTCCCCGCCTTCGGTAAAAAGGCACTTTGGATTTGTGAAAATACTTCTTCCTGGCGCGACGACAATGATGGATGGAGAAAGTCCGTGGGGAACAAACACCGACCAATGCATATGCGACTACTCGGAAGTCGCGATGCGCGACGCTACGATAGAGAACTGGAACAACATGTGGGACGACGACCTGGTCGACAACGGGTGTGAAAATGCACCACTCGACCAGAGAAAAGTCCACGACGAGATGGCAACTTTGCTGGACGAAGGCGTTGTTGATTACACTTTATGTGTCGAGAAACTGTGGGAGTGTGAAGCGAGTCTCGCGGGATCAAGCAACTTGGATGTCGCTCCACGACACTTCCGTTTCGACAATCTACAGGATCACGTGGAATCCGACAAGAGCAAACATGTTGATCACACGTGGACACGAACGGATACAAGAGGATATGGCAGGGCGGCGGTATTCGAAGCCGCATCGACGGGTCATGCAGACGTGATCACCCTGTCATTGGAGGAACACTCCATCCTTTACACACTCACGTTTCCAGATTACTACTCTTGTGTGGACGTGCTGGCGTCAGTGGTCAAAGTTTGCGATTTGGGCCTCATTGAAGCGAGCCGTGAAGTCACGCATGGCAATCATGTGAGGACACAATTCCAATGCGCGTTTGAAGTGAGCCAAAAGGTTCCACTGTCCACGGCTCAGGAGGGATTCGACATGTCGACAACACTCTTAAGTGCATGCCCTTGGACAATCACAATTGCCAACATTGGGTCAGCTTGGCGCATTCAACCCCCCACTTCCAAACACAACCACGAGCTAGCACTTCCCTTGCTTATCCAGCCTCCAGTCGACGCGTACAGATCAATCCCCAGAGCTTTGTGGAGTTGTGACCCGTTTGCCGAATTCCTCTCGGCGAAATGGTGTCTCGAGCAAGACATGGAAAACGCTCTGGTTGTCCAGCACCGTCAAATCCCCCCATCAGGCGGCTTGCATGTTATCAGCGACACCCCGTCGTTGTGTGGACAACATCACCATTTTCACGACACCGTCACGTGTCTTCGCACTGCGCTAGCCATCTTCCCCATCCAAGAAACGTTTCCCACCGGGCCATTTCAAACGTTGTTTGATGCCGAAATGGCTTTTCGCCAGTGGAATTCCAAACGAGACTTCGAAACACGACTGCGGCGGGAAAAAGAGGTGGGGGCAAATCGCCCTGTGACATTTCGTTGTCGTCACTCAAGGGTGGGTAGCTGTCCATGGCACGTGCAATTGACTCGTTGTGACAGAACCAAGCTGTACTGTGCCTCGTCGATGCATTTACTTCACAGCCACAGTGCCAGTTGCGACCGTGTCAAGGACCACGTCGTTCACCCCATCGACGACTTGGACACGCCGTAAGAGGCAATGTAGTAGGATTGCATTAATGCATGAAACATGGCGAAGAACGGTTCACGATCGACGGCCTTCGATCTCGTTGCGGCGCACGATCTGCGCAATTTGCGTTAGTGCCGACGTGTCCTTGGAGATTTGGTTTTGCCGTAAGTCCAACGTTACCACACGCGTGTTCTTTTCCAATCCTTCGTACAACGAAATGGCGTCGGATTCCTGGAGTTGGTTGCCGCTCAAATCGATGACAGAAAGAGCGCTGTCGGGGTCCAAAAAGAGCCTGCACAACGCTTCCGCAGTTTCCGACGCAAGGGCGTTGTTGCTCAAGTTCAAAATCGACAGCGATCGATGGCCGACGAGACCTTCGAGAAGCAACTTGCCCCCTTCGTCCGTGAGGCGATTGAGCCGTAGGTTCAACTCGACCAAGCTCGTGTTGCATTTGAGACCACGAGCCAAGTACCTTCCGCCTTCCGCGTGAATTTGATTGTCGCACAAGTTGAGCGTTGATATGACCTAACACGTTGAGGTTAAAATGAAGCCGAAGGATGCCACTCGCACCGAGGTGGGCACGAGGAGCTTGGCCAAAAGGCGGGCGCCATGGTTGGTAATCTTATTGTGGGACAAATCTAACGTTGTGATCGTGGTGTTCTTGATGAGGCCCGTCATGAGCATGCGAAGCAAATCGTCGTCCAACAGATTGCTTGGGAGCTGCAGCGTCGACAGAGTCGTAGTCGCCTTGATCGCATGCGAAAGAGATGTGGCGTCGCTAATTTTCATTCCGAACAGCATTCGCTCGTACTTCATACCGATGTTCTTGACGCCGTACGACAGCTTGAGCTTGGTCAAGTTGGGCAGGCACGACGTGACTTCGTGTACGTCCAAGTGGGACAAAAGCTGGTCGATTTCAAGCGAGAAGATGTGCGGCGCGCTCGCGTGGACCTTGGTCAACAAGTCGGCGTACGTGCCATGGCCATTCGAGTTGGTCGGGTCGAATGCCTCCAGTTCTTCTTGCAAATTGCGCTCTACACAGAGACGGTCAGCACAAGCAATGCAGGCACGCTCGCGAGATCGCACCCAAGTACAATTGCTTCCAAGTCAGGCCATGGTGCGCAATTTGCAAGTTCGACCATCCTGCCCGGTGCAGACAACAGCGCTTCCAAAAGTTTTCGTCGTGGATGTGCGGAGCCGTTGCCACGATGTGCAAATCGAGAGGGAGGCGCTGCGTCACTTCGGGCAGAAACCTCGTCGGGATACCCGCCATGGGGTTCGCTTTGGTGCTAAATCGTTCGGTGACGACTTTGATGCACATGATAACCAACGAGTCAATGTCGCGCTTGACGACTTTGTTCGGATTGTCCGAGTCTTTCACGTCGGCGACATTGCGGGGTTTGTACTTCTTCACCTGGTCGGACAGCGAGCAAACAGCGGTAGTGGCGCCAACGCTGCTCGTGGCCAGCATTTTTTCTGGCGTGGGATCTAGCGGTGGCAAACACAATTAGACTGTTGTGGCAGTTCATGTCGGTTTCACAGTGTAACGCCGCCTGTCGTATCACAAGGGATGAACAATAGAGGACGCGTCTGCCAGGTCACTGGAACAATGGATGGCTCGTGGTGTGTGTTAGGCGACGTGGCCCGAGTTCATTCAACAACTTTCGACTTGCCGCTCATTTCCTTTCGGCACTTGGTTTTTTGGTCGCATGCTTCCAATTGTTATGTAATTCTGTGCGTATGGCGCATCCCAATGTCAGGCAGCAAAAGCACCTTTTCTACCCACGCCACCCTCTGCCAGACCTACCGTGACTGTCCTTCCTCCAAGCACAATATCAGCGCTCGTTCGTGTCAATGCACCCATGCATTGCTCTTACCACGGCATCTGCTCTCTCACCGACGATGGAGGATTCAGTTGTTTCGGCTGACATTACGATTTTTCTCTGGAAAGCTGGATAAAATTGCTAAATATTTTCAACATTTTGTCGGTATATTTTCGCCAAAATGCTCAAAAGTTTGCAAAATACTTCGAAGTACATGTCAAAATTAACCATTTTCGAAAAAGACGTCGAGAATGTTGGTACTTGCTTTTGACTCATCCGCGGACAGAATTCAAAACACCCTCGGGCCAACATGGACGACGAAGAGCTCGCCCGTCTGCTTGGTCTGTTGAGCGATAGAACAGCGCTCACAGGAGATTTCGTATCCCCCGCGCACCATCCCAAGGCGTTCGCACAGACGACGAACGCCACTGGCAATGGGGACGCCAGGAAGCACACCACTGCACAAGCACGAGTGCAAAGCAATTATCCTCGACGAGATATTCCCACCCCCTGTTCATGGTACACAGATTGCCCCGTGATGGATGAGGTTGACCATTTTCGGCGCTTTGTTGATCATGTCGCGACTGAACGGGAGTGGGAACATGTACGCCGTGCTGATTTTGCGAAGTGTCGGTCCCAGCTGTCCACGCCAGAAGGTCAAGGAACAGCACGAGCTATAAATTCTGATGCGCTACCATCATCCTTGAGCTCGTCCAAAAGTCTTCACCGTTTGGACGACATCCCGCCTCGAGAGTGGCCGCACGTTCCTGGAAGAGATGTGTCATCATGGGATCAGGTCGTCGCGGACGTCAATGCTGAGTCGCTCCCGCTTCTTTGTGTTTCCAAGTTAATTCAGCTGCCTCCTGGTAACCTTAGATATGAGCCCTTCGACGTAGCACAAGTTTTGCACAGCATCACAACCTATCTCCGCGATCACAATATTTTCAAAGGGTACAGTTCCATGCTGTCGTCATCACTTACTACCGTCCTTCTTACTGACCCCATTCCACCGCGTTCATGTAGATCGACGAGCTCCTGGTCAGTAGAATCGTTTCGGGCTTTCATGGTTATGCTTGCCCTCGGCATCCAGCTCCAATCTGCGTCCATCCTTCAAGACATGGCATTTCTTTTATTGAGCACAAACTCAGCCTCGGCGTTTCCACTGCCCGCCGAAGACCAGCGCATATTTCAAGGGGTCATGCACCTCCTCGGACACGCCCCGTCCCCCGATGTGACAACTCGTTTGGCTCTACCGGTCCCTCGATGCATGATCGGGTCGTGGGTCTTAGACGCTCTTCCCTTATCACCTCGAGACGCCTTTGCCACAGATGGTCGATTCCTATACATTTACACTCGTGCTGGTCTGTTCAAAGTTGGGACTGGCGCAGCGGAAACTGTGCGCAACATGGTGTATCTGCACAATCGCACTTATTGCCGAAGCGCCGACGTCGAACGGTCGTGGCTGTGTCTGGTGGACCAGCACTTGTACTGCCGCACCGTTGCGATGCCTGGAAATAGCATCGACCGCATTTCGCTCGACTTTTCAACAGTGACCCCTCTATACCTCGCTGGCGGGTCCGGACTCGGTGGTGTCACTTCTACCAGCGTATACGCTTTGGTCTCGGACGGCAAGGCTCTGTACGCAATCACATGTCGCGATATTGTGGCAAACCGATCGTCGAAAACTCCGATTCCTCCTACACTCCAGCGATCCAAGGTGAAACGAAAGGAACGGTCGACTTCTGTCGCCATCTTAGGTAATTCATTTCTCGATTTATCCAGTCTCACAACAGCGTTCCAGATGCAAACCCGATTCAGGTAGGTAACCGAGTTGTACGAGGACCTGACTGGAAGTGGTCAAATCAAGACGGTGAGGAGGGAAGCCCTGGAACCGTCGAGCGCATTTCGACGTGGGGAGGTGTCCAAGGCAGCGGTATCACTGTGCGGTGGGACAAGAATCAACGCATGAACACATATCGATGGGGCGCGGAAGGGTGCTTTGACATTCAAATCATCGAAGAAGACGCGAGTGGCAACATCTTGACGCACAAACCAATCAAGATGGACAACCGGTCGGGCGGTGCTGCCGGCAAGTCCACGCCGGCACAACATGAATTTGTTGTGTACAAGTACGACCCGACGACGCTGGAATCGTATTTAGACCAATCCGACCAATGCATGCGCGAGATGTTGCACCTCCCAACTGGTGTCAAAAAGGATGACAAGCCCGAAAAGTCATTTTCGGCGTCCCTCCCACATTTTAGCCATACACATGAACATCCTGTCGGCGAAAGCGACTCCAAAACACCTTGGGTATGTGACGGCCACCAGACCAGCTGCGTCGGTTCCGACGGCGTGCGGTATCGTTGTTTGACGGGGTGTGACTTCGATTTGTGCGCCGCCTGTCTGGCGGTAACGACCAACTTGGCTGACGTTGTGCCGCCCATTTCTGCTGATGATGTCGTGGACGAGCTGCCGTTTTCTCTCGAAGGTAAGTCACACATTTGAGGCAGGGCGTTGCATTTTTCACATATATATCGAACTAGACGATGAGTTCTTCAAAGTGGAATCGATGCCCACGATGACTGAAGACGCCCGTGTGGACCAAGATGACCTGTTGGCCGAGTTGCAACAAGCGTGGCAGGGGCAATTTGGGTCAAGGGAGTGTGCTGTCGCACTACTGAAGCATGACTATAACGTCCAACAAGCGAGTGAGTGGCTCGTGACAAGCGGAACCCTGCTGAAGCGCCGGTGCGTCATCCCTGTCCGAAGATCCCTTGTGCTCGAGCAAAACAACTTGACGCTCCTGGACCCGGTGTTGCTGATTGCCGGGTCGTTTTATACAACGGGGAAGCAACTTGGCATTGTAGTTCCTGGGGCGATCTGTCATGTCGAGCCGTCGAAACGTCGACGGCAAGGTGACATTTTGAACGTATTTTCCATGGCGTCGGGGACGCTCTTGGCGGACGTCCACCAATCGGTGGCGGTGTCTGGAGGGTCGCCCATGTGCTACGACCATATTCGAGATCGAGTGATCGGGCATGAGTTCAATTCCTCCGTCATGCTGGAGTTTACCAACATCGAGAATGCGGTACCGGTGGACACGTCCGCACCAGCGTTGACCGATCCTGGCGGTTTTATTTTGCATCATTTGGTTCGGATTGTGGGTCTGCGGCACCGACTTGAGCCCACGTATTTCCCTCTGAAAACAATTGAAATGCACATCCAACAACTCGAAGCGGGAAAACCAAAACGACGGCAAGTGGTGAAACTCAAGGCTCGGCTCGAAATGATGAAAAAACTGGTGGGTTCCGACCCTCGGCAAGGGTACTTTCTGCCATTTTGCCCCACTGTGACGTGTCTCCCAGCGTTGTCAAGCTACATTGTTCATGCCGTCCAAGCTCGATGGAGTCCTGACGTGGTAAACAATTGGCTGTACTTGTTGGTTGGGTTCCTTGAGGAAGCCATGTCTGCCGATATCACCTCGTTCGGAGATTTCGACGCCGAGTCGTTGGAGGACACGCTCGTTCAATTGTGCACTGGCGAATGCGGTGAAGAGTACATCGCTTCGACGTCGCGATTGGCGCAACGCGCCCTGCTCTGGGGGATGAACCACCAAGTGTTCTTTGCATCGCCGGAGAAATTGCAAGCGTCCCTAGCAAAATGGTGCAATTCGCTGGAGTTGTCTCGAGACAACATGTCATACGCGTTGTTGATGCCGCTCAGTCACCCTACCCGAACCTACCCAGATGCAAGTGCCGTCAAGGCGGGGTTCACGGGTAGTATTCTTCGAACGTTTGCGTCGAGCTCGATTTTCCTTCAACGACTTACGATATCTCCTCAAGTTTGGATCTCCGCTCTTCTGTCCCTCAACAAGAAGGAACATACGATTCTAGATCGTGAACCGAAGACACTTTCACCGACCCAACGATTGCTCTTTTCCATCACGGCATATATGCTTCAACAGCCACTTCACCTTCATGTGCCATGGATGATTGAGACTGTGCTGACTGAGTGCAAAGCATATTTTAACGAAGACGACCGGCAGTTCCGAACGTCCCTTGGAGGTACCCTATTGCCATTGATCGTCGCGGGCTTGGCGCATCGACCAGAGTTGGCGAACACTCTCCTTCCAACCCTTGAGGACTTGCTGCTGTCCATGGATGCGGTGGTTGCTACCTTGCCGAAGTGTCAACATGCCGATGCGGCCTACAAGTCGACCGAACTGACTGGGTTTTTGTCCCCCGCCGAAGTCGCAGAGAGTCCACATCCATATGGCCTCGGGGTCCCGACCTTTCGAAAACAACTGCACTTTTCTCAAGCGACTGCATTGGATCTTGAGTTTGACCACGCGTCGTGTACGGTCAACTCGAACGATTTTGCATTTGTGACGAGCAATCCGCACACGAATCTCGACCGCTTGTGCATCGACCATGCGTTCCAGGGCGACAAATACTTTCATGGACCATCGCCGTGGCCTACGTCGAGCTTGGCGGGCGATGCAGCCACGATCGTGCTCTGTGCGACGACGCATCCGGATGACAATGCCAATGAGAAACTGCGCTACGGGATTAAATGCCAAGCCCGGGGGTACTTTGCAATGCGAATGCCAGCTCTTTTGCGCACTCAGCATGCATTGGCCCAACTTATCAGCAACCTGGCTCGGCAACTCGTGGCTGACGAGTCCACGCAAGATGTCTCGAAACAGTATCTGGACGCATTGTCCGCGTGTACTTCCCTTCCCGAAAATATCGTGGCCATTGCTAACAACGTGGATCATCCATTTGTAAATCGACTCGAAAAGCAATTCGGACGAATTTTTCTGCGCAAGAGCATTGAATGGCGCCGATGCACCATGGCATGTTTGGCTGTTCTCCTTGGTGTCAGTAAAGTGGATATTGACACTGTGGACGTCACGGATCTTCGATCGGTCGTTCAAGGCGTGTCTGACCTGCAACGGTTTATGATGAAGCATTCTCAAATTGAGATCGAGTGGGCCGCTTTCCTGACTGACCAAACACCCAAGGACGGCGTAATCGAACGCTTGGTTGGAAACGAAGAGCTGTTGCAAGGCCTCTGTTCATATCTCCAGCTGCAGGAACAAACTCCTGAAGCAATTTATGCCAAGTTGGAAGGTGCTCGAGGTTCCGGAGATGTGTTAAATTTGCCCAGCATCATCCAGCTTGTGGAAGACCGAGCGCGATTGTTGCTCAACCAACGAAAAGTCCACTCAAATGACAATCACAATCCGTCGGTGTCCCTCGACACCGTTGTTAAGTTTCTTCAAAGCTCGGTCGTGCCGACGGAGATCAACAAGGTCATCGCAATCCACAAAAAGAACGCTAATCGTCGACTGTACGTGCCATATTTGCTGCGAAAATGGCGTTATTCCAGCTATTTTCTAGGTCGGGTCTGAACGTCTTGCATAACATGCTTGGATTGAAGAGCTTGAGCACTCGACAATTGTTTATGGGTGCATTGTTACAATCCATGACGACCTCGACACAGAAAGTGGCGATCTCGGACAACTGCGAGCTTTGCGGCTCGGAATTGATGGCTCAATTGGAAGATGGGTAAGTTGTCTCATTCGCATGACATGAGGATTCATCGGCATACGCGTAGATTAAAGAAATACTTGAACACAGCGAAATCTCTATGTGAAAGATCTTCCACCTTGTACTCCCACAAGGTGATGCTTGGGTTGGAGCTGACTGCGTTTGCATCCAACGAGCCCCACGACAGCTTCATGCTTCCTCAAGTCATTCATCTCCTTCGGGACCCGCCAGTGTGGTCATTACCCAACGCGTTGAACCACTTCGCAAATGCTGTTCAAGCGAAGGACGCATTCTCCCGCAACGTCAAGGGTTATTCTGAAGTTTTGTGGATGGTACTGCGTCGCCTCCTTCGGACTGCTGTGGAAGTTCCACTGGCCGCTCGCCTCGAGATGTGCCACGCGCTGTTTCAATTTGTCTCAACGGCGCATGAAAAGGCTAGAATTTTGGACCTCGTCCGTGGAATTGTCGATCGAAATTGCACATTGACTTCCAACTGGACGACGACGATTGGAAGTCTGGTCGATTTTGGTCATTCTCCAATGCTACTTCGGGCGGTTCGACGATTGTTTGATCAACTTGCTGCACCACAAGACACCTCGCTTGTACGTCGGATATTGCACGGAATTGGGACATGTTTGTCTGTGGAACGCCCAGCTTGTCCTGCGAAAGGCAGTGACTCGTTTGGTACTGTTCTGTATTGGACCAATTCAGCCAACGAGGCCCTGATCAAGCTTGTGGCGCTTCTGGACGATCAACTACACCCAGAAATCCCGTCGTGGAACATTTCGGTTGATGCGACGAGCCTTGCCAAACAACAACACCTGCTGGACACCTCGATCATTCATCGGTAAGTCTTGTTAAGCTACGAACTGTGACTGAGGTGCACGTAGCTACGTCCAATGTGACGGGTGTGGATTGAATCCACTGGTCGGACATCGCTTCAAGTGTCGGTCGTGTTCAAACTACGACCTTTGCACAGTCTGCTACGTTGGCAACGTGCATGATCTAGACCACGTGTTTTTGCGGTGTTCGGACACATCTGGTAACTCCGACCAACTTCCTCCGCGTATAAGTGAGTCTTTGTCCGGTTCTCGACTGTGGAAGTCGACTCTCCTGCACTCCGAACTCCAGGCCAAGGGGTACATCTATCACTGTTCCAGGCTTGAGGTGATTTGTTCATGTCTTCTTAGGTTTGCTGTGCTGCTCCTGTCATCTGAAGCTGAATGCACAGCGATGGCAGAAAAAATCACGTCGTCGCTCAACTTGTCGTGCTCGGTCACTGGTCTCGAGCAAATTCGCCGGTTGCAATCATTAGCTCCGGAAAAATCGGCTGCTTCGACCCCACGCAACACAATGGCCGCAGCCATTAATGCTGCCGCCGAACCGCTGGATGTGCACTCGATTAAGCAAGATTTGGCATCTGACTTCATCGCGCTAGTTCGCAAGTGGCTCACTCCTAGCTCGAAAACGTTTGGCGCGGTTGTGGCGTGTCTGAAACTCGTGCCTGGGTTTTCCAAGGGATCCAAGACGATTGCTGACATGTACGAAGGGATCGGCGCGGTAGCTGTATTGGGAGGGACGGTCGAACACTTGCGTGAAGGCGGCTACGTGACGTGGAACCACGTCACTGCCCAAGTTCGAACCATTTTCCAACATCAATTGAACCTTCAATTATCATGCGGCCGAGTTGAAACGAAGGTGCAAAAGGCTGAAGTCGTTCCTGTATCAGAAGTCGAAATCGATGCCGCCTGCGCCAAACTGTTTTTGGAGGTTCTGTACGTATTTGATGACATTCTTCAAGAAATCGATTCGTGGATCAAATCCGACGAAGTGTGCACGTTTAAGTCGGATGTGAGCTGGCGCGTGCTCAAAGCCTTGCATGTCCTCGTTCCGTTGTGGCCGAGTGTGTCGGACAACCAAGTTCTTGCACTGTATGGTTGTATTCCTCCAACATTGATGGCACTTGCCCAAAAATGCCCCGTCAGCATGCAATTCATTTCGACAGAGTTGGGACACGCTTGTGAAATGGTAATTCCCTGACATCAATGTATCACTATGCTCCAGCTCACCGCATTATGTAGGCATGGTTGTATTTGCGCAAAATGCATCACTTTGTGGCGCTCAGTCCTTTCAAGTCGCATCTCCCGATTCCAAGCCCATTAAACTTGTCGACTCAAATCCTCGATGTAAGCGCTCCTTTGTTCAATTGCGGTTGGTCACCCAACGGTGCTGTTGCCATAGGCGGAAGACGACACATCAGCCACGTATTGGTACAACATGTACTCGTACGCGACGCTAGCCGATTTGCCTCAACATCCTGGACGCAACAAATTGCTTGACCACTGGGAACGCCATGTAATTCCAGCGATTCAAAAGTACGTGCGGGGGTCGTTCAAGTCGTACGAAATGGATTACTTCTTTGCTCAACTCCGCGAGCCACTGCGAGAAGGAAACAACGCCGCCGCCCGACGAATTGCGCACACATTGTGCGACGGACACGTTCCGCCTGGCTGTCTTTTTCCAGACAACAACGCGGACTGGACGGCGTTGCAGTGGGACGACTTGGCAATTGGATCAACCTACCGCATCGAACTGGACGTGGCAAGTGCTCCACCTGGTATGGGTTGGTGCCAAGGCCACTGGGGCACAATCGCTCTGATTGACCCAGCGTCGAAGTTAGCACTCTTGCAAGTGATCAACCCCGACACAGCGTCATTGCAACACTGGTGGCTGTCCGTATCGCAACTGCAAGGTGGCGACGTGGCACGTCCACCCGTTTCGATGTTCGCCGATCAAGTCCTTCAAACAATGCACGTTTCGTCGAGTCGCGCAGTGTACAAGCTGGCCCGCGACTGTGTCTTTGCCATCGTTCGAAAGTGCCCCGAATTTGTTAGAGTCGACCTTGGCCACTCGTTGCAGCGAGGGTATGCCTTGTCGGATTTGCTCGCGGTTGCAGCAGACGAATGGTCCCCGATGGCGGTCGAGAAATCGCACTCGATTAAAGACGCGATTCAGTTCCTTCAGGCAACGTCGCATGTGCTTCCTGTTGTACCGAAACCCAAACAGAAGAAGTCCAAGGAAGTCATAGTTGACGACGCTGTCGCATTCAAGGACATGGCGAAATTCATTGGGTCGCAGGTGTCCGTGGCGCTGAACAAAGCAATGGAACACCACAAGTCGTATGTCGTCACCAGCGCTAGTCCCCCGGAGCCGCTCGTTCACTTGCACTTGCCAGACGTAAGTTGGATGGTCTTGACGTTCTTCGTCCATCCAGTCTTGATGGATTTGCCCGCGGGAAGTTGCATGGAAATCTTCTTTGATGAAGGTTGCACTCAACTAATTCGAGGATACTATGGAGGCCGCAAAGGTCTCAGCAAGCTTCCCCCGTTGTGGGTTCCGTCAAATTCGTGTTACATCAAGATGTCGATATCCGAATACGCTCGCTACAAAGTTCGCGTCGATGGTATCCACGGGACGCTAGGTGTGGCAACGTGGCTGAATGACTTGCTCAACGACCCGAATCAATGGTGCACTTTCTTGGACCTATGCAACTGGCCTCCGCTGGTGCAACAAATCGCATTTGCGGCGCTGATTCCGAAAATGCCTCGGACGGTGTCGCCTTCTTTGGCGTACAAGCTGAAAGAACAGTGGAAGGCGGTGTTTGCGGAAGAGCGTCCAGTCTATTCAACTTATGCGCAGCAGTTGGTCGAAATGCTCACGGTGGTTCATTCCGACACGGAGGATGTGATCCAGTCATTTCGACGAATGACGAAATTTGCAGATGCGTTTACAGACGCGAGGACAAAGGAAGGCGTAGTCGGTCGCGTCCCAGTCGATGAGATCAAAGCTATGGTCGACCGCATGCGAGCCAGCGACTTCTACACAGATCGACTACTTATCTTGCAAAAACTACCCAAGACCTCGGACATCGATGGGCTCGTGAAAGCGGTATCAAAGTGGGTCGTACACCTTTCCCTGGAGTGTTGTGGCGAAGCTGATGATCAGAGTACGGATTTTATGTGCAATTGTTTGGAGTCCCCGTTGACCGTGCGCCGCTTATGGCTCTGCATAGGTATGTTTTCTGCAACGGATGTGACTCGGTTTGGAATCCTCGCGCGAATTCTCTATTGCCCCACGGACTCGAGTGGATTCTCAATTGGCTATTGCGTGGTGGACGTCGGTCGCGACGATATCATTGATAAGCTCATGGCGAGCTTGACCGACACGCCGTTTTACTTCGAAGGTGAACACACCGAAGACGATCCAGAGCTGATGGCATTCATCCACCTCAGCGAGAAGTCCGAGTCTTCCTCTTCAGCGGCGCCGTCAATGTGGGCGTGCGCCTCGTGTACGTTTGAAAACAATGCCGACTCGACCGTTTGCAACTTGTGCGGGACGCTTAACCCAAACAAGGCCGCATCACCGCCAGAGTCCGATGCGTCCACCAATGCTCCTGGCCCAAGCGATGGATGGACATGCTCGGCTTGCACGTTTTTGAACGACTGGAACAACTCAACGTGCTCTATATGTGGCTCGGAATGCGATCAAGAGAGAATCCTGACATCTCTAGATTCGCAATCTCCTGTTGACGGTATCGCGCCACTAGATGGTGGCAATGTCGAGACGCCATCGACGACCAGCCAACATCGTTTGTCGGTCCTAACTTTCAAAGCCGCGTACAATGCCGGTCACAGTCGCGATCCGCGCGTGAATGATATTCTGAATGCGTTGGTTCCTCGATCAACTGCTGCGGAACTGATCGCTTCTGCAGACGTGCCCACGTGTCCACGTGAGCGATATGTGGAATTGCGTTCGAAAGGATATGATCTCCAACTCACGTTCGGAAGTTTTACATCGCTGCAACAAGCACTCGTCGCCATGGGGAAGTGGACGTTTGCGATGGACGTGCAACTCATCGACGCTGCGCTCCAGCAATGCCATCGCATTGGGCTACCAAACTTGACTCAAATGTCGGTGAGCCACTTGGGGGCACTTGTCGACACGCAGCATTCGCTGCTGACAGCACTGTCGTTACCAGAGCTTCGGCTGCGCTTTTTGATTTTGCAGCAGTGGAACGTTCTGTTGAGCGAAACGTTGAGCCTTGTGGACTTTCACCATGTCGGTGTCGGCGCAAAATTGGTGAAGCTGCGGAAATTGATATTCCCAGGAGTAAAAATCCGTTTCTTCAATCTCGTACAAGACAACACGACTCAAGGCGGCGAAAAGAAACCCACCGTCACCATAGACCGTCTGCTCTGGAAGCGCGATCCGTCCGTGTCGTTGTTCGAGTTCGTCCAAAATCAATTGATGGCTGTCAATCCACTTTCGCTGCGCGCCAAGCGACCACTCGGTGCATCCGATCCGTTCATTGCATTCAGTGTCGATTTTATGGGTGAAAATGTCGTGGGCGAAGGCGGACCGTACCGGCAATTGTTTAGCGACATTGCCCACGAATGCTTCCGGCTGAACTTGTTCCTACCAACCCCGAATTCTACCCAAAAGCTCGGAAGTGGACGCGACATGGTTTTGCCTCGACCATCCGCAACTAGTCGACATGACATGGAGCAGTATGAATTCGTGGGGCTCTTGATGGGATGCTGCCTGCGCACTGGAGTCCACTTGCCCCTTCGGCTGGCTCCTTTGATTTGGAAAATGCTCGTGCATCAACCTGTCGTTGCTGCCGAATTGAAGCAAGTCGATCAGGCACTTCACGATAGCTTGATCAGCATCCAGACTGACGCAACACTACTCGAGGCGCTAACATTTACGACAGCGTTAAGCGATGGACACGTCGTTGAGCTTGTTCCTGGCGGTCACACCAAGCCTGTGACGAAGGTACAGTTGACATTTGCGCGAATTTTCCCCTCATAATGTTCTTTTGTTAGGAAAATGTCGCCGAGTACGTCAGATTAGTAACAAAAACGAGACTCGAAGAATGCCGGCCCCAGGTGGATGCGATTCTTCGAGGCGTGGGCAAAATTTTTCCTCTACAATTGCTGCCTCTGTGCACGTGGACCGAGTTGCAGCAGTGGATCGGTGGCAGCCAAGTGATCGACATCGATTTGCTCAAGGTAAAGCCATCGTTCAAGTCTCGACGAAGGGACATTGACTTGTTGTGACAGCGCCACACGAAATATGCTGCGGGTATGACGGTTGAAGCATATCCGCATTTGGAGTACTTTTGGCAAGTCCTACATGGGTTTTCCGAGGAAGACAAACGCCGGTTCATCAACTTTGCTTGGGGCCAAGAGTCCTTACCTGCCGATGACGCCGAATTCGACCGGACGCGGACCCGACTACTCATCAAACCGCCGACTCATGCTGCCAGCCATTCCCAAGACTCGCTCTTGCCGAAAGCGGATACCTGTACGACCGACTTCATCCAATCGTTTGCAATTGCGACAAATTCGTGTGTAGGTTTTTTCAATATTGAATTGCCCGCATACAGTTCGGTGCAAGTGATGAAGGACAAGCTGCATTTGGCCATTAACCTTTGCATGAGCATGGACGCTGACGACCCATCTGGGCGGATGGATGTGTACTTCGAAGGCGAATGAGGTGGATGAGCCTGTATTGGAATACAGGCTCACGAAATCACAACCAGGTCGGGGTATGTGTCGGCTGTGTGGGCAAGGACTTCCTTGGACACACTGGTGGAATCCAAATCGAATTAGTGTCTTGCGAATTACGATCCCACGTACTTTGTATATTTAACATCCATTTTCTTCATCCGTTTGGCTTCGCGTTGGGTGGCCACTGCATCCTCCCCGTCGGCAGCCGCCATTTTCGCTTGCAGAAAAGCATAAATTGCCTACACAGATCCCATGAAGACGGATCTCTTCCACGTGCCACTGAGAAATTCGACGCACATCGTTCGTGACAGTCTTGACACCGCAAAGATTCAGCTCCTGCAGATTTGGGCACTGCCGGCCCATGTGATCTAGGAGACGGTCCCTACCCACACAAGGAAGTTGGCTGTGTCATCCACTGCAGTGGATGGACGCTAGAGAGTCGTACGTGATTCTGTAGTTCCAGTGCAGATGAAGGGCTGATATCGACGGTCGGCGATCCAGTAGAGCAATCAGTGCGTCGTCCGTGAGGCCGCAGTACCCGACGGCCAAGCTCTGGAGCTTTCGGCATTTGTTGGCAATCACTTTGAGTGTGCTAATTCCAAGGACCGTGACAAAATAAGCACGAGGGAGGCAACGTGACAAGGCGTACTGGTCTGTAACGCGGTGTCCGGAAATGTGCACCTTCAAAAACTTGGAGTGGTTGGGGTGCAACTCGATAAACGACGTGATGCCTTCGATCGTCATGTTGGTGTTGCCACCGACATCGATGCTGTTGAGTTTGGGGCTATGCGCTACGAGGACATGCAGTGTTTCGTCGGTCAATTTGCGGCAGTTTTGCAGGTTGAGCTCCTTGATATCTGGGCAGTGCTGAAGCAAGGCGAGGATCGAGTCGTCCGTCAATCGAAAGCATCCTGAAAAGTTCACATGATGCAAGTTGACTGTCACTGCAGCCATCCGATTCACAAACACAGTCGAGATCTTTGCTCCATTGATCTCAATCTTGGTTAAGTTGGGGTGAAAGAACGCCGTCGGCAGCGTGTCATCGCTGAACCTTCCGGTTTGCAGCACTGCTCGAATCAGGTCTTGCTTGACCTTGTGCGTTTTAGATCGGCTGGGGTCGCAGATCCGGTGCGCTCTGGCGATGGCCATATCGTTCAGCATGTCCGGGGCATACCTCTTGGACATGAACTTGAGGATGAGATCCTGAAGCGGAAGTACGTCACGCTGGAACGCCATCGTGTTGCGATGGTGAGCGGAAGCAACAAAACCTCTGGAATATAATATATTGACATTTGTTTTGAAAGTGAGGAACATGGTAATGAAACTTCATATTTATGAGAACGAGTTCGAGGTTAAAATTTTGGATCACATATAACACGCCGAGTGCATGGATTTTTAGTTGGTACAAACCCAAGGACCAACTCACGCAGTTTTCAATAGAATGGCAGTGGTATCAACCAGGCTACAAAGCGGTGCTATCGCGCCACACCCGAGACAGCAACATGCAGATTATGGATGCCACACGCTCGGGACGAATCGACCGTCCGTTCTCGTACGTAGCCGCCACTGACAGGCGTGCGAGGTTGGTGATCGACAACTACACGTTGGACAAGCTTGCTGTAGGCTTTAGAATGATACCCGGAGTAACGAGAAAATCGTGTTTATTTTCGGCGTTTACGACGCCTCCTGCCGTCACCGCCTATCCCACTGAGCAAGGATGAATCACTGCTTCCCATTGCAGCAGGGCTCACGGCCCGTTTTCGATCACGTAGAACCTGGCTTGGTACCATTGCCAATCTCGAATTAATCTGGATTGGTACCATTGCTATTCTTTGGTAACTGCGTGGGTTGGTACTGTACTTGGGTTGGTACCAACAAAAATCAATCTACTGATTTCCCCCCGACTTTAGAACGGCTAAATCACGACAATTTATGGAAATGAATAACATCAAATGGCAATGTTCATTCAAATATTCAAATGCATGCATGATGTCAATGTGGCTAACTGTAAAGTCAATTCAGAGATAAAACCGCGCATGATGTTGGGCGACAAACATGCCTTGCATGTTAAGCATTTACAAGAACCACATTTGACGTATTCCGAGCTGGCACTTTGAGCTATGGAGACGTTCAATCTGTGCTCTACGCCATCGAAGCAGACCGTCGGACGCGCCATCGCGCGACACAACACACAAAGCCAGCGTGCCGACATCAAAGCGCGCTCCATTGATCGCGACGTTGCTCTACCTGCCGTTGAGTCCAGTCTCATGGAATCGGTGCTACGGTGCGAAGAGCTTGGAGTCTGTCTCACTGGCGAGCTCATTCGTAACCGTACTCTGCAAAGACCTAGCCATACCTGAGGGTCAGCGCCTCTCGTTTTCAAAAGGATGGCTGTTCAAATTTCAGCGAAATCATGGACTCACCAGCAAGATCCAGCACGGCGAGGCCGGCTCGACGTCCCTTGAAGGCGTCGCAGAAGGACGCCGCGACATCCAGGCAGCTACAAGTGGTTTCAGTGCCATGGACGTGTACAACATCGACGAAACTTCCTTCTTCTACCGTCTGTCGCTGCATCGTTCCATTACACGTCACCGAGTCCCGGGGACGAAAATGGTTTCGAAACGTGTCACGCTGGCTTTAATGAGAAATGCCGATGGCTCGGACATGGTCGATCCCCTATTCATTGGGACAGCATGGCGGCTACGATGCTTCGACAGACGTACCGGCAGCGACCTTGGATATGATTACCACTCGAGCAATAAGGCGTGGATGACAGGATCGATCTTCAACTCGTTCTTGGCGTCGTTGAACGAGCACATGGCCGCGCAGGACCGAAACGTTCTTCTCCTTATCGACAATGCCCCGCCGCATACCGTGGATGTAGCCACGGTGCTAACCAATGTCCAGCTCAAGATGTTGCCATCTAATACGACGACGCACCTGCAGCCCCGAGACGCCGGGATAATCGCGTCGTTCAAGGCGAAGTTGAAACAACGCCAGCTGCAGAATACATTGGATCAGATCAACTCGGTCATGGAAGGACGACAAAGTAGGCTCTATGAGGAGGGCCTTTCAAAATATAATCTTTTACTTATCTTTCACATGGAGGAATAAAATAGATTATGTCTTTTTGCAAAGCAAAAAGATAAATAATCTAGATTATCCTGGATATCCTACTCAGTTTCAGTGTCTCCGTTCATTGCCACAACAACGTCATTCACACCCCAGACGTCCATGTTGAAGTACAACAGCATTTGGGCTTCGAAGTTTTGAGGCAACATGCTTTTGCGGCAGTCGGTCTGGGCAAACTTGGCTGACGAAAAGAATCGTTCACAAAGGTTTGACGTT